TCCTGGGTTAAACACTGCACTTCAAGAACTTTTAGAACACAGCATTTTAAAAATAATTCTTCTGAATTTATTTTGTAACTTAACCTGCTTTTTAAAACAGTTTAGAAAGTTCCCAAAAGTCAGCATTTACACTGAAAAGAAAGTTTTGTGCTAATATTTGTTTGTTTCTTCTTACAAGAACCTTTTTTGTCCACGTCTTGGACTCTGAGTAACTACTTTGGAAATAATAACATACAGTGTAGGGCTGGGGAGATAGCTCAGCAGTCTAAGTGTCTGGCTGGCAAGCGCAAGGACCTGAGTTCAATCCCCAGTACTACAGGCTGTGCCAGCCCCCGAAACTGGGTTCGGTGGTACACATCTGTAATGCTAGCACTGGGAAGGCTGAGACAGGAGGATCATTATGAGTCCAAACTGTGTACTATGTAGTGAGACCCTGAATCAGATAAATAATATTTTTAAAAATATAGTGTATTAATTATTATTTTCTATCATTTTGTTATAAAATTTGGTTTTATTTTTTCATAAAGTCAAAAAAAGCAAATATTTAGCACAAAATATGCTAACATTTGGAAAACTGCCATAACTAAATAAACCATTATTTTACCAATGACTGCTGTACTCCTTTATAAACTCTACTTCATTTCCCACTATTTTCCATGTTACAAAATCCAGGTATGAATAAAAGATATATTCAAAGTGTAAGATAAGCCAAGCATGGCAGTACACATCAATGGTCCCAGCTACTCAGAGGAGGAGACAGGAGGGTCACATGATCTCAGGAGATTAGAGCAAGCCCAGGCAACATAGTGAAAGCGGTTCTCTTAAAAACACAAGTTTATGTTCTATATTATGCCTACGATGTTTGATATGCAGACAGATAGTGAGGTTAAGCTTAACAGCCTAAGTTGTACAGTAATAACAATAAACTCGTCTTCTGGGTGATTAACAACCTAAGTTTGCAGACCAAAATTAGATGAAAAGGAGGGCTGCAAGGAAAGCCAACCTTTTGGCCCTAGCCTTCCAAGGTCAGTTAAGACTCAGGACATATGAGAACTTGTACTGCTATGTCATGTAACTCGGTAGTGTCCCAAATTTTCTGATCAAGAAGATTATGGGGCCAAAGAGGAAAGTGATCGATGATGTAGAGTGTGCCTAAGGAGAGTCACATGGAAAGAAAACATTCTCTCAGGCTTTCACAGAGAGCACCTTCTCCAAACAATGGCCGTGACTCATCCACATGGCTGACACTAACAAAGGATCTACAATCTGAGGTACAGGATCTCAGGATAAATCCTGAGGGGATTTCACAGACCTTATCAGACCCAAAAGTTACAACTCTTGTTGCATAGGTCCTGCTTTACCTTGGTCTTAACCACACAGCAGAAAAGTATAAAAACGAAATATAAGAAGTAAAGCCATGCTGATATGTTGAGCTTTAGGAGACTCAGGTCAACAATTTCTGACAATGCCAGTCAAGCGGAAGACCCAATACTATTATGGACTACTGAACTCTTTTAGATTATTTTGCCGAGTTAACACACCTATAATATTCAAATAACGGAACTTAACAAAAAAAAAGGGATACAGATGAATGTCCATTTTGTATCTGTGTATTCAAAGTGGTTAGGATAGATATATAGTTACATTCTCTTAATGAATAGAGGGATTTGTTCTAATGGTGTTTGTAGATAGGATATCATGTCCGCATCTTGTACAGCAATTAACCACTGGGAGGAATGTATGCAATGTGTTAATTATTGAAACTGTCCTACCAATTTGATTTGAAACTGTCTCATTGCTATTTGTTTATCAATAAAATTTTGGAAAAAAAAGAAAACATATTCCTCACTCAATAGTTCTAATATTAAAAAAACCACAAGTTTAACATAGTTTAATAGGCTTTCATGTAACACCCTATGAAAAGTGTATTGATATGGCTTCAGGTTCCACAGTGAAATTAACTTTAATAAACAATCACTTGTCAAGTTGTGGTTCAGTCACCAAAAAAAATTCAGTTAGCAAAAAATCTATTAAAATACTTCTCCAAAGAGGGGCCGAGGAGATGGCTCAGTGGAATAAGTGCTTCCCTGGCAAGTGCAAGGGCCTGAGTTCAATCCCTGGTTACACACACACAAAAAAAAAAAAAAAAACTCTCCAAAGAACCTTTTACACAAACTGACTGCAGAAACAAATGTAAGAATTTATCTATCTAATACTCTTTGATGTCACTAATATCTAAGAGTATTTTATGAAGGCTGGCCAAATAGCTCAGCGGATTAAAACACCTGCTTAGGCAGACACAGGGGTCGGAAGTTCGATCCTGGATTCCCAGTATGCTGTGCTGGTCCCACCCCTGGGGTGTGCTGAGATGGTGACTGAGACTGGGCATGGAGGCACACGCCTGTAATCCCACTACTTGAGAAGCTGAAAACAACAGAATCACTAGGAGTCCAATCTGTGTAGTGAGACCCTGTTGACCCTGCTCTAAATACAAAAAAAAAAGAATGTTTTATGGTTTGTGTCTAGATATCCCCCCAAAGCCTCATGCTGTCCCAGGACTTTTTCAGAGGTGGTTATATCCAGAGTATGATGTGGGGATCAAGGGTGTGTGCTTAGTAAACCAGTCCACTGATTTAATCCTATCTAGGATTAAGGTTGTGAATGCCAAACCCGGACTAGGGCAGGAAGCCCACATACAACATAAGTGACAGAGTCCTGTCTCTCTCCTCCTCCTCTCTCCTTGCTTTTAGTATCTTCCTCTGCCATGAACTGTTGCCCTCTGCCTGTGCCACCCTGCTGTGGGGCCAGCCAATTGCAGACTGAAATCTCTACAGTAAGCTAAATGAATCTTTCCCCTCTTCAACTATTGGTGTCCAGTATTTTGTCTCAGCAATGAAAGAAAAGTAATTAAGACAGAATGTAATGAAGTCCTAAAGCCAACTGTGAGGACCACTGTTTTAGGACATGCATGAGACCTAGAAAGAGCAAAGAGTCCTGCTCCACCCAGGTGTCATAGTCAGGCCAGAAGGCCCTGCAGGAGGGAGAACTGCCCAGCAACTGTCAAGCCAGGACTGAAGGGAAGCCACGCAGGAGCCCAGTGCAACTGCTGATCAAACTTTCCAACCAAGAATGCTGAGAGCCAAGGATGCTGTATGGGCGAAGAGCACCCACTATAGCTGGGATGCTGCCCCAGAACACAGAGATGGTGAAAGGAACCAAGCACTGCCCCATAAGTGATTTCATGAGCCCTCCACATCCCATATATCCAGGGCACTATCTCAAGAAGAGAATTGGAGAAGTTGGCTAAGAACCTAAGCATTTGTATAAGATAGAAATCAAAATAGCTGAAGAAGTCAGTAAATCAGTTGAGTTTAACTTTAAAACCAAGTGGACATGATAATGAAATGTTCTCACCACAAAAAATGATAACTGTATTAGTCATTCCCAATGTAGATATAAATGAAGACATTGAACTTTATCTGTACATTTTTAAAAATTGAGTAAATTTTTAAATTTCTTTCTTACCATTCCTTATTTTTCTTTTACCCAGGATTCATCTTAAAGAACCTTCATTTTGTTTCAAACTTCATTTATTACCCATTAAAATTCCTCAACAACAACAAAACAAAAACCCAAATGGACATCCGTATTATTTCTATCTTAATAGTCAATAAACCAGGGCTCATGGAAGAAACTGGATGAGTTTCGGACAAAAATAATTTTCTTTCTCTGAACCCACCAATAACATGAAATAAAACTATTACCCTGCTAATATGACACAAGTTCCACAGAGAACAAGCATAGGCAGGAAGGAAGGGGCAAGGCTGCAGCCCTGCAGGGAGCAGACTAGGAAGGCGCAGTTGTAATCCCAACATACTCATTATAGCAAGTAACAGCACTTCATACTTTTCTGAAGTGAGGACGCAGGCCTTGTGGCCTTACTCCCTGAGTGGGTGACAAATCCAGAGCCTTTTAACTGCCAGCGTGAACACTTCTGAGCCTGGCAAGGTCCTAGGAAGGAAAGAATCATATAGGTCAAGGTCCCTGTCCCAAAGGCCTAGGAGGACCTCAGCAATAAGGAGTGCGTAAGCCATACAGGATGATTGGCAGAGGGCTTCGAGAGTAAAGACATCTACTCACACTCAAGGTGCGGAGGTTCCAGAAGGGCTTCTTCCCAGGAGAGGTGCCACCTCTGACGTCTAAGAGTGGACGGAGTCTGTTTTTTGCTGCACTAAGGACTGAATCCAAGCCCTTGGCTGGCGGGGAGCTACTTCCCCTGCCCTTCTCCCACCCCACCCCCTTTTTCTTTTTTCTTTTTTTTTTTTTTTTTTTGCCAAGCGTTTGCTAAGTTGCTAACCTGCCCAGACTGGATTTGAACTTAGATCTTCCTGCCTTGGCCTCAAAGACAAGGTGGAAGTCATCCAAAAAAGAAAATCCAAACAATGAGAACCGCATAAACAACAGGCAATCAGGCAAGAAGGTGGGTAAGAAAGCCCGAAGTTGTGATCAAGGAAGTCGATCCTGAAAGGTCTTTAAAAGCAAGTCCTATTACTATTATGTATTTTTATTATTATATATTATTGTTATTATTTATCTTAATGTCATCTCTTAAGGATAAGTTCCAGCCCTAGGAGAGTCTTCACCCCAACTCCTGCAGCACTGGGCACCCAGGGTTGCACAATGGAAAGGCCTGGGCAGCAGGACTGAGTGTCTGCCGCGCTGTGTGAAGCGGTGGTCCGATGGGGAGGCCATAGGCGTGGGGGGAGGGGGAGGGCTCTGGGCCCACATCCTCGGGACCTCCGGGTCCCTCGAGGCCGCCCGCAGGGTACAGACGGGTACTCAGAGCTCATGTTCCATGGGACGCAGAGGCTGAGGACGCTGCGTTTGGAACCCACGCCCCCACCGTCCCGCCCAGGCCGCCTTAAAAGGAGATGGCTGTCTGCCCAGCCCCAAGCCACCCAGCGCCCATCCAGGCCCTCAGCGCCAGGACCCCGACTCACCGCTCCGTGGGCTTAGCTTCAGCGGTTACCATGGCGACAGAGGGACCAGGCGGCAGCCCCGCCCCCCGGGCGCAGAAGTTCCGGTTGCGCGCGAAGGTCAAGGTTGCAGCGAGGCGGCGCGCTGCCCCCGCTGCTGGAAGACAAACAGGAACTGAAAGTGATCACAGTTATCAAAATCAGTACGTTCAGAGGGTGGAACGTGGGTTTCTTCTTCATTTTTTATGACTATATTGCAGTTTTTTAAATAAAATGCATAAATAAGGTATGCACGTTGCTTGGGGGCCATTTTAGTCTTTGGCTTTTAAATGGAAGCATTTTCTGTAATATGAGGATGCATTCTAAAAACTACTAATGATTGTAGTTATAACACACAGCTTGATTTCTGGTTGCTGGAGTTCTTTCTCCTGTGGTTATGGTCATTGTCACCTACAAGGAACATTTCCTGACCCCTCACAAGTGCCAACTATCTAGTTATAGGAACAGAAAGAATTTGAAAACTAGAGCCCTCTTGATTCAGAAATCTAAGGTCTACAACACAACTAGGGAAGAACTAAAGTATAAAGAAGCCAACCGAGAAATGCTAAGATTGCAAACCACGTAAATGTTTATAAGGATCACAAAGATCTGAAGACCAGAAAGTTTCGTGACTGTATTGGTCAGTTTTGCCATTGCTGAGACTGACTTGCACAACTTGAAGGAAGAAATAATCCTTTGGTTTAGGGTTTCAGAGGGTGCCCTGCATGGTAAAGAGCTCCAGTGCAGAAGCATCATGTGGAAGGCACAATGGAGCAAAGCTGCTCACCTGGTAGTGGAGAAGGAGCAGAACACAGGAAGGGCATCAGTGAGGTTTGAAGAGTTCAGGAACTTTGGGGACTGAAGATTGTGGAGTCTAAATCTGAGATATCCACATCTGGATGTTAAGGTCCCATTCTTTCCCAATCAGCACCTTCCTCTTAGCATTGCAGACTTGCCAGTATTCAGAATTTAATCTTCTTTGAGATTCTGCTAGGGCTGGGGAGATAGCTCAGTAGAATAAGCACTTGCCTAGCAAGTGCAAGATCCTGAGTTCAATCCCCGGTACCGCAAAAGGAAGGAAGGAAGATAGATCACAGTCTCTTGAAGCAGTTTCTTTTTATAGGAGCACAATTTGTGATAGCCAAATCTTGGAAACAACCAAGATGTCAGTCACCTGAGGAATGGATGAAAAAGATGTGGTATTTTTACACAATGGAGTATTACTCAGCTATAAAGAATGATAAACTCAAAACCTTTATATTTAAGTAGATGCCACTTGAAGATATACTCATAAGTGAATTAAACCAGACCCACATGTGTAAATATCATATAGTTTCCCTAGTATAAGAACTCGAAGAGATTCTGCTATACTTACATTTAACTAATGTACCTGGTCCTCAGCTCTTTCTACCCTCTACTTACAAAAAAAAAAAAGCCTTATTTATTTGTTTATTTACCAAGGTAATGATTTTCATGCTTACTATTTAATTGCCAAATTAATCATTCTCAACCTCTCAAAAGATATCTTCAATCCTCGGTGCTGGAAAAAAAAATTCATTTTAAAATTGTTAAATACATTTAAATAAAATGCCTTTAATTTTATTAAAATAAAAAATAATGTTGCCTAACAGATAATTTTACTTAACTAAAAATGTTTTCCTTGCAATTTTTAGTAAAGAAATATAAATACTTTCAAAGAAATATTACTTCCATACTTAACCTTTCTAATCTGGTTCCTCCTTTCCCCTACAGTTCATCATTTATATTAATTCTTCATTTAGTTTTTAAAATTTTTTTTATTTTTATTTTTTAAAAAGAATAAAAAATAGTAAAGAAAAAAAAGATACAGAATTTCACTAAACAAGATAATAAGAATTCAACAATAGTTGTTATATTGCATGTTGTTGTCTTCAAATTAGCTGTTCAGATAGTTTTCCATTTTAAAATATGTGAATAAAAATGTTAAATATAAGTAAATCCATATCTACACTCACATATTCTATTTTTAGGCCTTTCTTAAAGTTAGAATGCTATAAACTCTTCACCGGGCACTATTGTTTGAATGTTGGCTATCCCCCAAGTGTCCATGTATTAAAATCTGGATCCCCAGGAGAAGCTACAGTCCTGGGAGGTGGGACCTTTGGGAGGTCCTGACATCACTGACGTCGTACCCCGAAGCAGGTTTTGGGATCACCTGCTTGTGCTGCCCTTCTCTTTGCTTACTGAATCTATGGGAGCAGTTTTGCCCCAATACAGACACCTGCCATGATGTGCTCCCCACCACAGGCTCAAAAAACATAGGCCCAATCAACCATGGACTGGAAGTCCCAAAACTGTGAACCAAAAGGAAACTGTTCTCTTTTTAAGTGAATTATTTCAAGTATTTCATTCTAGTGGTGAAAAACTGATTGAACATTTAGCTTTCATCACTTAACAAAATAGCTGAGTAGTATGCCATAAAATTGTTGAGACCATCCTCGTTTCTTCTTATAGGCCCAAGCCTTTATTATATGAGTATCCTATAGTTTATTTTATCAGTCCCCAATTGAGAGGCTTCTGGGTTGTTTACATTTTTTGCTATTATGAAGAATTCTGCAGTGATTCACTGGTATATAACTTGAGGTACAGAATTGCTAGGTAACAAAAAAAATTACTAGATCAAAGAACAGGTGCAAATATAACTTAACTAAATCTTGCCAAGTCTCCTTCCATAGAAGACCCGCTATTCTTGCATGCAAGCCAGCCCACAAGATGAACGTGCCTTCTTCCCACAGTCATGCTGGCAAAGCAGGTTTTCCAATTTTTATTTTTTCCTACTGGATAGGTGAGAAGTGTGTCTCAATATAGCTATAATTTGTGTTTAGCTTAAGAGGAAGATTTAATGCATTTTCAAATGATTAAGAGCATTCTATTGTTCAGTGAATTATCTAATCATATATTTTGCCCAGTTAATATATTTTTTCTCCACTTTTAGGAGCCATTTATATTACATTATGAACTTTTATGCTATAATTTTTTTTGTATTTTTTAGGGAAGGGTCTACAGAGTGTTCAGGGTCTCACTGCTAGATCGAACTTGTAGTGATCCACCTGTTTACAGCCTCCCAAGAGCTGGGATTACAGGCACACGCCACCATGCCCAGTCTCAATTGCCATCTCAGTGTGCCCCAGGGACAGGGCCGGCACTGCAGGCCCAGGGATCAAACCCGTAGGCCCTGCACCTGATTGCAGGCTCTTTAATCTGCTGAGCTATTTGGCCGGCCATAGATAGAATTTTTTTCTAATCATATTTGCTTTTTATTTGGTTTATCACCCATGAAAAATACTTTATGCAGTTAAATTTATCAGTCTTTTTCTTCTAAATTGTGTTATAGTCAGCTAAATGTTTCTCCATTCTTAAGAAATATATGCAAATTTTATACTATTTTTATGCTTCTTTATTAATATTTAGATTCTTGATACATTTGGTCATTACAGGGCATAAGGTCTCACCCCTCTTATCTCAATTTGTAACAACTCAAAGGACCACCCAGCCCTTTGAATTTCCCATAAGGACTTCAAATGGAGTCTATTTCTCTATGTGGAATAAAGAATAAGTCCCAATATTATTTTTTCTGTAGTTGTATCAGCAATATTTATAAGACAATTTGTATTTTACCCCATTGGTTTGAGATATCACCTTAATTCAGTACTAAATTTTGAAACGTTCTTAGGTCTATTTCTGTATTTCCTGCCCTGCTCTATTTGTTCATAGGTTAAAACCACAGCTTAATTATAGAGATTTTATAACATGTTTTGACATCTCCTGAGGTTACCCCTTTTCTGCTGCTTCTATTTTTAGCGTATTTCTCTGTGCTCTCATTTGTCTGCTCTTCCACATGAATTTCATAATCAGCTTATCTACTTCTGTAAAAACTGTGATGTTGATATGATTTGATGCTGTGATTTGAGTGGTGGTGTCCCCTCCCAAATCATGTTGAAACTTCATCTCCCATGCAAGATTATTTGGTGTGATTGTGGGAAGGTGATTAAGCCACACAAGCTCTGCCTTCCTGATTAGGATTAGCTCTTTATAAAAGGCCCTGAAGTTCAAAGCTGTATGTTCTTGACCTTACATCACAGGCTTCTCAGAGGATTCAGCATTAAGGTGGCGTCTTGGAAAGAGAGAGCAGCTTTCTTTAGACACCAAATTCTGGTACCTTGATCTTGAGCTTCGCAGCCTCAAGAACTGTGAGGAAATAAATTTCTGTTGTTTACAAATTATTTAGCTTAAGATATTTCGTTATAGCAGCACAAATGGACTAAGGGCCTTGGGTTACATTAAACTTACAAATTAATTTATGGGCTGCTATGGTTTGGATATGGTTTGGGTGTGTCCCTCCAAATTCAGGTGTTAGAAATTGGGTCTTCAGTTCGTTCTCAATGTGCTGCTATTGAAAGGTGGTGGAATCTTCAGGAGGTCAGGCCTAGGAAAAGGTAATTAGGTCACAAGTCATCACCATTGAAAGGCTTTAATGCTAACCTTAAAGAGTGAGCTTGTTTTCTCAAGAGGGAGTTGTCAAAAGTGCAAGCATGGCCCTAAATCTGTTTTCCTATTGTACCTTTTATCCCTTTTGCATGTACATAAGGCCCTCACCAAAGCCTCAGTGCACTCACCAAGACCTCAACAGGGGATGCCCAACATGGGACCTCCAGCCTCCCAGACTCTTTTCCTTTTACATTCCCCAGCTTCAAGCATTTTGTCACATGAACAGAAAATGAACTGATACAGAGGCACTGTTATGTTTACGGAATTGATGCATCTTATCCAGAAACATGGACTAATTCTCTTAACCAGTCTTATCCAAGAACACAGAATATATTTCATGTATTTTTCACCATCTACTTTTTCTTCTTTCAGGAATGTTTTACAGTTTTCCACAGAGCAGTTGCATATAACTAGTAATTCTTGATTCAGAGATTGGTAAGGATTTGAATTTCATCTTATAGATGAGAAAACTGAGGATTACCTAGAATAACCATATGTTTCCTTGAGAACACAGAGTCAG